AAAAATAGGGTTAAAAAACGACGCCCCTCCCCTCTTATCTGTGGAGAGCGCGGCTGTACACAGGCTATCTATTGCAGTCGACTCTCGGACAACATCAAACCTACATGAAGACTCATATTTGACTTTACAAAAGGTCTGTTCATGTTGTCATCGGAATTTTCACGAAAATGCTATTTATAAGTGCTCGCCGTTAAGTGGCCTTACTTAGTTTGTGAATAAAAAGGCTTTTTCTCTGTCAAATGACTGAAAGTTCTTTTTCAACGATAAAAAGTGGCTTATTCCCAATAGGTCCATAAGCTTCTAAGTAACTGCGTACAATAACCGCTAACCAAAACTCAATGGATCAAAAAGGTTAATGCAATTGGATATCTAAATGCATGACTAGCTTTTAAGGCATTTTAAAACCATCTTTGTTTAAAGTGCTGAGTGCCTTTTATAGAATAGAAAATGGGTTTTTCCCCCAAAATAATTCAACTCATTTCTGAACGAGGTATTGTTTATTCGGAGTTTTTGTATCTTAGCCAATGTTAGAAAGGTGCAATGTTATTAGAGGTCCACACACCACTAACCGAGAAACGAAAAGAGTCTAAACTGACACACGTATACGTTCTACCGCCATGCGAGGCAATTTTGAAGCTACTTTGCCAAATAATTTTCAGCAGTGTGTAAGATAGCCTGCGAATACAGCTGTTCCTTCTTTCATCGCCGAAAGAGACGTTTCGCGGGAGAGACGTCTACGCTTCAGCCCAAAAATTCCATACTGATGACGTAGATTTGATCGGAATTTGGTCAACTATCGCTGATTAGTCAAGTATTTTTTGTTGTAGTAGAATTTGACGCATTAAAATCAGACCTCAAAACAAAGGAAAAAGAGTTTAAACGAAAGAAACATATAGTTCACTTATTCTTTTGAGACTTTTTAAATGAGCAGTTCTCCGAATTCTATTTAGACCCTATTTAGCCTGATGTTAACATTTCAATGCGTAAGCCTCTCTTTTCGCTATGGGAAAACAAACGCACAATCACTCCAAGCGTATGTCATTGTCCTGACCTTCCGACCTGTCAGCTGGGAGCAGTATAGCTGGCATACATCAGAAGGTGTGCTCCCATCAGCAGAGCAAATGAAGACGAAATGTGCCAGAGATCGTGGTAGTCGAAGAAACCGAGCCATATGCATTCTTCGTTTTTATTGCGAGATTCCTCAGGAGTCTTTGCTTTATCTGTTGTTGGCAAGGCCAGAAACATTACCAACGCGAAACCTAAAAACACCGCGGTTATCAAAACATAGATGTAACTGAAAAAACATTTCCAAGAACGACGTTCACATTTACAACAACCTTTAAACTCACGCATAGAGCAGTTGCCACAAGAGACTTTCGCAATAGTAACGACTACGCTTTCTACAATACAAGTAATAAGAAGCGCTTGTGGAAGGCTATCGAAAATCGCGAACAAACATAGCAGAAGGACTGCTATGCACACACCACTCGTGAGGCCAATACACTTCCCTTCACGCTTGCATTTACAAATACACGATTTCCAATCGTCAAAATACAATTTATAGCCAACCCAGTTAACAATAATAAAGCACCAAAGGGCAAGGGGTACGGCCCAGGCCGCCGTTGGGATAAGGCCTTCGTTTGAGTGATTCAGTGAACCGAGATAGTTTAAAATATAAAGTGGGACAATAAAAACAAGGAAGAAATTTGTTGCCCCCACATTACCTTCATCTTCCTGGCCGTTTTTCATCTCAATGCCATTATACATTACAACTACAATCAAACCTGAAATGACGAACATAAACGCCGTATCAAACTGGAATGTGATCTTACTTGGGCAAAGATGATAAAGCGTTGAAAACAACCCCTCGAAAAGCAACGCCCACGCAAAAGCGTAACCTATTGAAAAGGAAAAGTCCTTTTTGCGTCCCTCGGAACGGGCTAGTACTTCTGCCTCCATGTACCAGACAGACAATGCTAAAATAAAGGCATGCACTATATATGCAAAATTGCTACTCATCAAATTGAACGGAATATCGCTATTTGATACCCTGTAACAAAAGTCGTTATAGTAACAATGGTCTCTATCGCCTTCTTGAATCATCAAATACCAATCTGCATAAACAAACTGAAAAGCTCCCACCATCAAGACGCAACCGACAATGCATGTAATGTAAGAGAACGTTTTGGGCCTTCCTGCAAACCAGTGGTACTTCATGACGTTCCACATGGCTGTGACGACTTCGCCCCAAGTTGCTGGACAACATATTGATTTAAATGGGTTAATGTGAGGTTCCTTGAAACAATACACAGCCCAAACAGCAAAAAGGCCACCAAGAATAAGGGGTAGCAGCACTATAATGAACATGGGTTTTTCATACGAGTAATCAAATGATTTTGTCAATGTCAAAGTTCCAGTTTTACTTGCATTTAATGGCGTTGTACCTGCAGCGTTATTTAGGGCAATACCAACGTACCAGCTTGCTGAGTCGGTCAGAGAAGGAATAGATGCCTTGGATAAAGTGATACGTCCTTTCCTCGCAAAAGTAAGACGAATAGACTCGCCCTTATAATCCACAAGTCTGATGTTGTCCTTAACGTCTAGACAGTTTCGGGAAACTTTCAAGTAAGCGGGGACATCCGAGTTGGAAGTAACCGTTATACCAAGCTGCGTCTTTGAGATGTCTTTAGGAGGGATAAACTGAAAGACATTTACAGTATTCCGTTCATTTATTTCGAACTCTTTAGGGTCATCGAGGCCTGCCCCATTGTCTTGAGATGCTTCCACTGTGAAACCCACCCCGGGTGTTCCTGAGAGCGTGAGGCGTTTTTCCATCGAGTCATCTCCTGAATGAGAAGGACAGAACGACAGACTTCTCCACTGGTCGCTAAGTGAAGACTCTGAAATGTCCAGATGACCCTCAAGGAAGGTGTTGCCTTTGCCATAGACTGATAAGTGAAGAAACCCTGTCAAAGAGAAACAGCAATCCATCATATAAATACACTCTTTTTTTTCTTTAAGAATATATTTTATAAGAATATCGAGGCTGAAATTTGCGAAATTTTAAGAATATTTTAAGAATAAACCCTAGGCTGAGGTTTTGAAAAGGATGTAATTTTGTGTGTTCAAAAACTGTAAATACCACACAATTATGTTTTCAACTTATTCCATCCTCTGAACGGCAAAACTTGCTAACAAGGCGCAAAAACCTGCACTAACTATACTTGATACCCCAATATATTCTAAAACGGAAATGTCACAAGCTATAATTTAAGAATGATAAAAGAATATTTTCAGCCTAAAATCGGCAGAAAAATAAGAATATTCAGCCTGGGCCGGAAAAACAACATTCTTATATAAAAAAAAAGAGTGTACTGAAATGCTTCCCCGGGGTGGTGGGGTACTTCCTTATAAGGGGCTAATGTGGATGTGCCGCTGGATGGGGTCGCATTTACAACTGGACTGACTATAAGGGGGTCGCAAATTTTCGGATTTTGGGGGGTAACACAGTTCTTCATATTTTTGGTTAGCAAACGTACCAGAATGTTTGTACTGCAGGTGTACAGTAAAGTGTTCTTCATTAAATTTAAAAAAAAATACTGTAGGCCAATTCATAAAAATAGAAAGTTACTAAGTTGAGAATCGCGAAAATAACATACTTGCCCAAAAGTGACTAACATGGGGTCTATATTTGGCCACAGAATTTCATAGACTATAATGGGGTAGGGGCTCTGAGAGGCCAGCGACACATACCCAGCAATCAACCCAAGTACCCCCTACCCCTCCGGGGAATGCTTCCTCACAAGGTTGCTCTTGTAAAAGTTCGATACCACACTGCATTGTATATAATAGCAAGAAATATAATTCCTCTCCGTCGCACTCACACGAGCAGAATAATTATCCCCTAATCACCTCGGTGATACTAAATCTGAAAACTTGTTTACATCAAATGACTTTTAGAAAGTCATTCAATACAAGCCTATGGCTTGAAATTATAATGTCTGAGAAAGGGTGTAAACGTCGCGAGTTTACATTCTGATACAAGCCCTCACAAACAATGTGTAAGACAACTGATGAGCAATTGCGATCACGCGATGCGAGGAGAGTAATAAAACGTCCGGCACTTCAAGAAATTTCGCCTATACTAGGCGTCGGGATGGCGCGCGCGTAATCAGCGATAAAAAGAGTAGCCGAGCGGACAAAAAAAAGATACTAAGACAGGCTGTGCCTACATAATGCAAGGCAGTTGATTTGTTTACTTTTATTTTTCGCCCCCCCCCCTTTCTCTTAAAACATTGTTTCAAATTAAATTTGTTGTCTGTGTCTTAACCATACGCAAATGGGCTAGATTTCTTAATTGACGAACGAGGCTTACCGACGCCGGCCTTGTTTCCAGTTTTTTCCCAATCAGTTCATTTACCCCACATAGCTACAGTGAGAATAAAATGGCGCTTGGACATACAGTAGCGAGTAGTTCTCCAAAACAAACTGCGCACTGAGTTAAGAGGCTCGCGACATTCCAAACAAAGGTGTTCACAGTCATGCAGATAGTATATTTGCCTTCTGCACTCTAAAACTTCCTCGATTTTTCGGAAAAGCAGAGAATTTCAGTTATGAATGAATAGCTGTTTACACAACCTAACTAGAAAAGGGAAAATTTATGCGTAAGTACATAGAGGAACTGAGATTTCAAAAAGTATTTCTAGCCAATTTAGAAGATTTAAATCCCAAAATTTCCAGGAGAAGCATGCCTCCAGATACCCTTACTACACTAGTGCTTCTGGATTAGCATTCCAACTCTTGCTCTGCGATGATCATCCTTGATTAGGACAAGTTAGATAAAGTTTCACCAGGTGTTTTTCACTGTGTTTGACGGAGTCTTAGATCGAAGGAGGTTTCTCGCTATTTGAATGTTTGGGGCTATTATAACGATAGCGATGATACCTTCTACTTAATTTAGAGTTAAATGATTCAGTTAAGCTTGAAATCATGCAACCCTCGCAAGAGTCTTGCAAATAATCAGGAATATTTACGACAAATAGGCATTCAAGTAAGAATCCGCAAGGCATCAAAAAATCTCCTTTGACTCACCTTTCTTCGATTCTCTGTTTCTCTTAGCCCTCAAATATAAAATGCTGTTTGTTATGTTTGTCTTTACGGTGCAGGAATGGGTCGGGATTCTTGAAGAAGGAATCTGAGAACGTAACTTCATCACCGAAGACTTGTTTCCATTTTTCTCCAATGTTTTTAACCCCACAAGGTTGCAGTCAGAATCAAACGTCGCTTGAACCATATAATGGCGCATTTGTAAGCTCCAAAAGATCACAAACGCGAGGCTTGCGACAAAGGATAACATGGTGAAAATCAGTTGGAATAAAGACGTTTACACCCAGTCGACCTCAGTTCTTTTTTGACTTCTACACTTTAAAACTTCCTCGGTTTCTTGGAAAGCCGTGAATTTCAGCTATGATCAAAATGCTGTGAGAACACCTATTAAACTAGACTGTGAATGTCACTAGAAGTATTTGACCCCGCCATAAAATACTGCCAGCTTTACCAAAGTCATTTCAAGGCATCATTTTTCACTTTACTCACCCTCTCTCCGCCTTTCGCCTGCCTTGTATTTCAAAACAACGAAACGGTATTATTATTATTATTATTATTTTAAATTATTAACGTGTATTACATCGCCCCACCCGAGGTTTTCTTTGGCTTTTCCCAGCTAAAGAAATTTTTGTAAAAGTTTAAAGCATACAAAAAACCTTTGTTCACCCTCGGTAGTATTTATTTACTGCATTTTTTCAGCTCAAAGGTTCAATGGACCCGACACGCAAATGTCTCAGAAATTAATACCAAGAGTAGTGACGAAGTGACACTGTCCTGCATTCAGTGATTACAGTCATGCAATTGAGCTCAGAAACTAATTGCTGCCCCCATGCGAGATTCGTTTAATTAAATTAAAATTAAATTTTACTGCAGTTTGTTTGTCACTGATCATGATTCTGATGGATCCAACCGCAGGTTAAGCCTCTTTATTTAATATTGTTTCTTTTCAGTAATGTTCTGGACTGTTAATACGTCGGTCGGGACTTCATGACTGAATACAAAGCCAAAGGTGCGGACGGTTTCATAGCTTGAAAGTAAACGAGGTCCGACCATTGCCGAAGATGTCCAAAGAACCCCCCAAACACTTAACAGTATTTTCTTCGGAGACAGTAAACATTAAAAAATTGGCCAATTTAACAGCGAACGCTAAAAATTATGGGCAAATAACACCAAAAATTAAACCCCATTCTGACCCTCATAAAATATTGCTTGTGTTGTTTGGAATGTCTTTACGGTACTTTCTTGAGAATTTCACTTCATTACCGAAGCCTTGTTTTCCTGAATTCTTTTCTAATGTTTTTAACCCCATAAATTTTTAGCCAGATTAAAATGTTATTTCGCTTAAACCATACACTAGCGTTTTTGCATTCTGCACTTTAACTAAGACTTCTCAGTTTCTTGGAAACAATGACACGAGTAATTTAAGTTATGAATGAAGTGAGAAATATGATGACCATACCGCAAGCCGTATGAGCTCAGTCGCTACCGAAATTGTATCGCATGTTTAGACTTTCAGACTTAATTATATTACAGGAAAGCTCTCATAGAAAAGACTTTATTACACTGTTTATTACCGTATTTTCTCGAATAATAGCCGTCCCTCTAATAATCGCCCCCGGCTAGTACGGGTACCTAGGAAGGGTACTCCGGATTTTAATCGGACGGGATGATTCTTGAATGGGAACAAAATCAAAACCCCCCAAAAAAATCCCACAACCAGATTCTAAGCCTTAAAAATTCCAAGATATCCTAAAAATGTATAACACACACAAAAATAAAATTTTAAAAAACAAGTTTAGTTGTCAGTAGCTATTTCACAGAACTAGGCGGCCGGGATACGCGGGCACTGCCACGAATCTTCAGATTGTTTGAAACTGAGTCTAAGGTGAAGCGAAGACGCAAACAATGAATAATGTTCCAGCTATCAATTCCAAAGCACTTGACTGTGAAACGTTTTCAAAGAAAAAAAGTAAAAGAAAAAATATATGGTTTTCTTCACTGAGAGGTAATTCTCACGAGTGCAACGAGATGGTTGCCCAACTCTCCCGGCCTCTTCAACAATGTCCCTGCAATTAAGTTTTTAACACGAATTATAGATTTATAAAGTTCCCACAACTTCAATTTAACGGGGAATTGGGCAGGGGTCGTGTGCGAGTCTGATTAAACCCGCGCTTTGGGGTAAAAATGCTTCCTACCAAGGTTGCTCTTGTAAAAGTTCGATATACCACACTGCACTGCATTGGTTGTAATTGCGAGAAATATAATTCCTTTCCGTTGCACTCACACGAGTAGAACAACTATCCCTAATCACCCCGGTTATACTAAATCTGAAAACTTGTTTACGTCAAATGACTTTTAGAAAGTCATTCAATACAAGCCTATGGAGAAAGGTGTAACCGTCGCCAGTTTACATTCTAATGCAAGCCCTTACAAACAATGTATAAGACATTACTGATGAGCAATTGCGATCTCAGGAGGAGAGCAAAAGTTCAAAGCACTGACAGTCTAAGAAACTTAGCATGTACTAGGCGTTCAGACAGCGCGTAATCAGCGCATTCAGAGTAGCGGAGCAGACAAAAAAGGGTTCGAAACAATCGCAATTTGAAGACGCTCGCGACCAAGAGAGAATTAGCTCATTCTCTCTTGTCGCGACATAACAAAAACATTGTTCAATTCTGAGCTCGAACGAAGATGTTCACACGGCCAGTCGACTTCAATTCTTCTTTGCCCGCTTGTGCACTCTAAAACTTCCTCGGTTTCTCGGAAAACCGCGAATTAACTTACGAATAAAATGCTGTTTACACTACGTAAATGGAAGAGAAAGGAGCTCGTTTACAATGGGAGTCTACAAGTAACATTGATTTTGGCCATGATATCGGAATGTTCGATGCTGCGGAGGATTAAGTCATAATTTCTTATGGATGAGAGACACATATGAGTGATTAAACTTTGCTTTTGGATAGGAAAGAAAGACAAAAAGCTGAACAGAACTGCGTTGAAGAACTTTTATCTTGTTGCTGTCGTTGTTATTTTACTTTTATACTGATTTCTTACCGTAAAATCGCGCGAAACTCGTTCGGCCAAGACACAGCAACAAGTTGCATCTCGTGGAGGAAACAATTGGATCGGGATCAGTCTTAAAAACATTGGACTGTATGTGTATCATTCGCGGATACTCTAAGGGCGAAACCTAGCGCTATTAGATATCTCGGCGTTACGACTACAAACCAAAGCCCTTTTTCACTGTAAAAAGCCACAATTTTATGTTGCAAATAGAATCGTTTATTTTTGAAGCGAACGAATTACCGCCTTTTCCTTAAACGCGATGACCAACTCCGAACTGCGCGCGAGCTCCTTGAAATATAGAAGAGATGTGTGTTTTCGAATGTTGACCATCAATTTTTGAAGAGCTTTTTAATTTAGATGGTTTAGCTTATACTTAAAGATATACGTAAGTACATAGAGGAACTGAGATTTTAAAAAGTATTTCTAGCCAATTTAGAAGACTTAAATCCCAACTGATTTCCAGGAGAAGCATGCCTTGGCAGATACCCTTACCACGCTTGCGCTTCTGGTTCAGCCCTCCAACTCTTGCTCTGCGATGATCATCCTTGATTAGGACAAGTTAGATAAAGTTTCACCAGGTGTTTTTCACTGTGTATGACGGATCTTAGATCGAAGGAGGTTTCTCGCTATTTGAATGTCTAATGGGCTATTAATAACGATAGCGATGATACCATCCACTTAGATAAGAGTCAAATGATTCAGTTAATAAGCTTGAAATCATGCAACCCTCGCAAGAGTCTTGCAAATAATCAGGAATATTTACGACAAATAGGCATTCAAGTAAGAATCCGCAAGGCATCAAAAAATCTCCTTTGACTCACCTTTCTTCGATTCTCTGTTTCTCTTAGCCCTCAAATATAAAATGCTGTTTGTTTTGTTTGTCTTTACGGTGCAGGAATGGGTCGGGATTCTTGAAGAAGGAATCTGAGAACGTAACTTCATCACCGAAGACTTGTTTCCATTTTTCTCCAATGTTTTTAACCCCACAAGGTTGCAGTCAGAATCAAACGTCGCTTGAACCATATAATGGCGCATTTGTAAGCTCAAAAAGATCACAAACGCGAGGCTTGCGACAAAGGAAAACATGGTGAAAATCAGTTGGAATAAAGACGTTTACACCCAGTCGACCTCAGTTTTTTTTTGACTTCTACGCTTTACAACTTCCTCGGTTTCTTGGAAAGCCGTGAATTTCAGCTATGATCAAAATGCTGTGAGAACACCTACGTAGCTAGACTGTAGATGTCACGAGAGGAATTTGACCCCGCCATAAAATGCTGCTAACTTTACCATCTGCGAGTCATTTCAAGGCATCTTAAACTTTACTCTCTCTCTCTCTCCCTCTCAGTCTTTCGCGTACCTAAATATGTACTTCAAAACAACGAAAAGTTATTCATTATTATTTTTTAAATTATTAAATCACCTGACCCGAGTTTTTCTTTAATTTGCTTTTCCCAGCAAAGAATGAAAGATTTTTTTATAAAAGTAAAGGCAAACAAAAAACCTTTGTTAACCCTCGGCAGTACTTTATTTACTACATTATTTTAGCTCAAAGGCCCATTATTTGTTTAAGTCGTTTTGTGAAAAGCCCTGGGGACGAGGTTGCTGAGGGGGCTCTAGGATAAACTGCCGTACTGTTATTTTCATCTCTGATGTATGCCGACTTTCATAATCTTTCAGTTCACTTCCAGATGCCAGCTGCACTGTACAGTACCGCAGATCCCGACCTTAAATGATCCCAGGCCGCAAATCAACCCCAAAATGGACCGCAAACGATCCCGAGGGGAAAAATAAAAATGGCAGGGGAGGGTGCAGGAGGTGCGCACCCCTCCCTGAGATGACTTGCGGTTTTCTAATACAACTGGTATTCTGCAAAGAAAAAACTGTGTGGTTTATTGGTGTTGAAGTAGAGCAAGAGACGAGTGCACCCCCTCCTAAAAAAATCCTGGATCCGCCCCTGAATGGCCAGGACTCAAGTTACTGGATCATCGTGTCACGTTTATTATCCGGCAAGAATACATTTAACGAATTAATGCCAAGACTGAAAAAAAGAAACCGTAAAACTACATTTAAAACTAAGTTTAATAAATAAAACACAAATAACTCATGATAACTGGCAAGCAAGAAAAAACTTATTACAAATACTATCAATAAAACAATAGTTCTTGAACAGCAATGCAGTGTGGCATGTCTTGCTTAATTGCTGGTTAGCATTAAAGCTAAAATGAACTGAAACTTCACATACTTAGATACAATATTCTCAAGAATAATATACTCAAATCCTATCTATCGGATACCTCATATCAACTTGAGAAAATGATACTGGCTTTTGTAACGGCGAAAGTCTGTGAAAACGACTTCAAATAAAAGTTCGCTCTAGTACAACCACATTAGGAGAATTCTTTGCTTATAGATACAAAGTCTTCCATTTAATTGTTCCTTCGTTTCTCATTCCCGAGGTGTGAATCTTTGTAACTCCCTCTGTATGCACGAGAAATGAATAAACAGGTTTGCGCCGACAGGGTCCTTACCACTAGACACGACATTTTCACGAGCTGTAGTTGCTAAGTGTATTTCGAAATAAACAGGAAACCTCTACAGCCGGGAGTGACAAATACAGTGGTCATATTTCTCTATTCCTCGGCGTTGAAATGAAAGACAAGTTTCCTTGAGTTCTTAACGTCCTTCCTGTCCTAAATTTTCACAGCAACGAAACATCAAATGCTTGAAAGAAAGGAGAAAAAAAATTGCCTAAAGAAACAGTTCTGTTATGTATAGTTTTATTCATTTCATTGTTCTTAACGCGTTGTTCAAGTTCTCAGCACATTAACCATCCATGCCTAAAATCCATTCCATTCCTCTACTTTTCGCCGGATTACCTGCGGTCGACAATAGGGATCATTTGCGGTCGACGATCATTTGCGGGCCATTTTGGGGGATCATTTGCGGTACTGTACAGCACCCTATAAATGCTTTTAAACTTCCTGGGTTTCTTGAAAATCCGTGAATTTCAGATATGATAAATATGCTGTGTCCTTACAATTTTGGTTTAACATGCAAAGGAGGGGGCAGGTAATTGTGTGAAGTCTGAATAACACCACTTTGGGTTTTAAAGCATTGTTTTTTGGAACTGGTTGTGGCGGATTTTGTTAAAGAAACCAACCACAAAAGCATCATTCCCCGATTTATTTAAAGATTATCAAGTTCGCGAAATAACTATTTCGGTTAAGTCGGCTTACAAGAGAGCACAATTAAAAACAACAACTAAAATAAACAATTAAGGGAATGCTATTTTCCTTAGCTAGAAAAGGTTGTGCAACTCAAACTAATCGTTACACGACAGCAGCCACAGCACCTTCATAAGCTGTTTCCGATTCGCTTGATTGGCCGGTGTTTGCTTCGTGTTGGCGACCCTCATCTTTTCCATTGCACACGGATTTCAATTGACACCTTAACAGTCCTTTGTAAGATTCACGAAACTCAGCTATTCTGAAACAATAAATCCACGGATTTATACATGAATTAGTTAGCGCTAGAGTCCTTGCCCAGTTATAAAGCATACCAAAGTTTTCTTCAGCAAACGCGGAGCGTAAATACAGAAGAGGAAACCAGCATATTGTAAAAATAACAACTACGATCGCTATAGTGACAGTCACACGACGTTCTACAAGGTATTTAGAAACTCCCCTCTTCCCAGTTTGACTAGGGAAACGTTTGAGCATCTCTGAGCCGTGTTCTGTGACTTTGAGTACGATTAGAAAGTAGCAAATGATTATCGCGATGTAGCAAAGACCAACGGCAACAACCGTGAAATAAGACGTTGCTGTCTTGCTGACCGTCAAGCGTAACACGCCGTAGACGGCGGGTAGTGTCCATGCGATCGCCAGCGCTATCTTGAAGCGCTTTTTTGTTCGAATCTTTCTGAAATCGTAAGGCCGTAAGATAACCAAGCAGCGGTCGATGCTGATGAAGCACAAATGAAGAATAGATGCGGAGCATGACAAGTTGGCGATTAAACGAAACGCTTGAGACACAGTTTCGTTGCAATCGCCTCTCAGTTGAAGACCTAAGAAGACTGATAAAAGAGGATGTCCAAGGGCGGTCACAAGTAAATCAGCTACAGCCATGCTCACCAACCAGAAATTTGAAATTGTTTGTAGACTGACATTCCTAGAAACTGTACTGATCACCAACACGTTACCAACAGTGCCAATAACTGTAGACAAAAAATTAACGGCTATCATGCTAAAGATGTGTATCATCGGCAACAAATGACACTGTTTGCTACTTGCCGACGTACTGGCTGAATAGTTAACAGCAGCAATCGTCATCTCCGAGGAGATATAAATTCGTCTTTTTAGGCCTTTTAGGTCCTTTTGGGCCTTTTAAACACCCGCCGCGACTCGATGGCTACACACTAAGCAAGTGGAGTGTCAATGTGTTCCCCGTAAACGTTTTAAGCAAGTGAGCCTGGCAAATTTCCATTGGCAAATTTCCATTGAAAATACTAGTGTAAATTACAAACTCAAAATTAGTAGCCTCCCAACAAAACCTCCTACGCACACGTCCTCCTCAGTTTTAAGTCGTCTTACGCAACTCCTCGGTCTTCTGCCTAGTATAGTCCATTCATCCTAAATTAAAATATCTTCCACCAAGCTTGCGAGAACAGACGCCTTTTACGGCTTTTGTTTCACGCGTCTGGAAAAGTAAACTCAAGACGGACAATTTTTTTTTTGTTTTGTTAAAATTTGAGTTCTACGTGATGAATAAGCTGAAAGAAAATTAATGCTTCTTAATCTTATAAATTATGTAAGTGAGACACTTCAGTTGCACAAGTGTTGTAAGGGGCTAAACTATTTTCTATTTGCCATTTAATACATATCTTTCTTATTATGCTTCCTCTCTGTTCAGTAATATGACCGTGGAAGTATCCAACCTCCCCTAAAATAGTTGTATGAATAATAAATGATAACGCTCTTTATTCAATTTTTTCTTTTGCCCACTCCTTCTTATCATTTATTGCATTATAGAGAACCTACTTCCACCTTAAGCTATTGGACAATTTATTTTTGGAAATACCGGTATATAAATAAGTTATTAAATAAATTTTTCCATTTTATTGCGAAAGAATATCTGCTAAATTAGAGTTTTTGTGCAATTAATAGCTTTTAAGGCGTTGAAATGCAATGCTGTCCTTCGGTTTTTACGTATTCTCAGCACGCGCAATTGCATGGAAGAGATCCAGCACTGGTAAAAATACTGCTTTTACCGGACCTGAACACTATTTTGATATAAGTGAGGCCAAAAGGTGCAATATTAGCATTCCTAAACTCGTTTCTTAAGTAATATTAATAGGGCTTTCCTGACTTAAGAGTCATACCCATTTGGCAAACAATTATTACATTTCTTTACTGGCTTTTAAAGCCCTGAATTTTTGTTTTTCGTAAAACTTACATTTTCCGTAGGTATTAATTCGATCGCGCCATCAAAATATGGCAAGTTTTTCTAGTTACCAATGAGCTATGGTGACTATCAAGATTCTCTCAAACGTCAATTTAAAAATGTAGGAAAAAATCGATCACAGTGGAAAGATTAGAAAATATTCCCCAAACCAAATAGGAACTGAGTTAATAATAATAATGTAATTTAGCTGCCTGACTGATCAAAAAAGACTGAATTTTATTTTAGTGTGAGCCAGAAATTTGTTAACATACATAAATGAGATTATAATATAAAATATACAATATATATGTTTATGAATGCATATATGAAAATTGAGGTGTATGGTGGGCTTGGAATTTAATAAATTGTACACAAAAGTTGGTGAAAGCGCTCTGTCGAGCTAACGTAAAACAAGAAAGAATTTTTTTTACAAGATGCCGATAGTTTATGTCAAATAATTAAAATTTATAGAAATGTACATACATTAGTTCACCTATCAATCATCATATTCTGGTGCTTCATAAAACACAGTACGCTGCTCCCCAATTTCATGAAGAGGTTGTATTAAGAATGTGTGCAAAACAAACACATCGAAAACAGCCAACATCAGTTGCAAAACTACTGAGTATATTATGGGTGATTTGAAAACTTGAAAATGTCAATTATGTCGTCATGGCATCCAAGACAATAATATTACAGTTCCCCTTGAGTATAACTCTTAATAAATTTTGTTTCACTAAGAAGTCAGTACCTGGAGTTATGAAAACTGGGTTAGCAAACATTTTGTAATTTTTCTCAACTTCCCCTGTCTAATAGCTTGACATGTGTTTACTGTGTTGCTTGCTTATGTCGTTTTTTTTTGTGGTTAGGGATTTGTGTAGAAGTAAATGTAGACAGAATTACTATCTTACCCCCCCCGCCCCACCCGATTTTTTTCCCTACCCACAATTCTTTCTTTACCACAAATGACAGTTATTTGAAATCAGCGCGCGCGTAAAGCTGGTTTCGGTGCAGTTTAGCAGTTTAGTTTTATATATTGGTCACCCTGAGAAAAGTTTCCCGGAGAGCATCATGTAAAGCTCTGAGATGGGACAAAGCTATTACGATTCGCAGAGTCTGCATCGTCTAATATCGTATTATATTCTCGTTTCATTTGGCTAAACGGATCAATCACCCTGATCCGGTCTGAGACAGAAAGGTACGATATTGTTCGCTTTTCTAAGGTGACCCTAAGTCTTTGGCCTCGGGAACAGGCTCTTAGTCATTCGTGTTTTTGCATGTTGCAGTTTTCATTTATTTGTAACATCTTGCGAAAATGAAATAACTAGCCTTTCCCTCGGAATAAGAATTTTATTCCCCATCGAATTAGTTCCCCTTTCGCCTCAAAAAAAAAAAAAAAAATAAAAATCGACGACGGGCGCTAAGTCATTGGGGATCATAGTCCGGCGTTTTTTAGCCTGCGAGCAAGCTCGCTCGCGAGTTCTTGCGAGACTCGTTTCACTCGCCCAAACAGGAGAGCTTGCTCTCAGGCTAGGCGTATTTGGGCATGCTCCCCTCATAAGTTAAATGAAGTGAAGGATGCCCCTAAAACATTAAGCTGCCATGGATTGCAAACATTAAATCAGAAATCTTCTCGAGTTCAAAAATTACCTCTTTTACTTTAAGTTTCTCCCTACAAGATCGCACAATTTAATACAACCAAGCTAAACAAAGTTCTTCATGGTGAGAAAATAATAAACTCAAACCAGTCATCAAACGGCACTACCAACTTGACACGCCATTTCCAGTTCGCTTGATTGAACAGTGTTTACCTCGCGTTGGCGACGCTCACCCTCTCCACTGCAGACGGATTTTAACTGACACCTTAACAATTCTCTGTAGGCTTGACGGAACTCAGCTATTCTGAAACAATAAATCCACGGGTTTAGAGTTGAGTTAGTGAGCGCCAAAGTCCTTGCCCAGTTATAAGTAACACCGAAGTTTTCTTCAGCGAATGCGGAGCGCAGGTACAATAAAGGAAACCAGCAAATCGTGAAAATAACAACAACGATCGCTATAGTGACTGTCACACGACGCTCAACCATGTACTCCGAGGCTCCTCTCTTCCGAAAACGTTTTAACGTCGCTGAGCCGTGTTTTGTGATTTTGATGACAATTAGAGTGTAGCATACGATGATCGCTATGTAACAAAGTCCGACGGCAACAACCGTGAAATAAGACGTTGCTGCTTTGCTGACCGTCAAGCGTAACACGCCGTAAACGGCGGGTAGCGCCCACGCGATCGCCATCGCTATCTTGAAGCGCTGTTTTGTTCGAATCACTCTGAAATTGTAAGGCCTTAAGATAACCAAGCAGCGATCGATGCTTATAAAGCACAAATGAAGAACGGACGCCGAGCATGAGATGTTTGCGATCAGACGGAACGCTTGAGACACAGCCTCATTGCAATCGCCTCTGATTTGAAGACCCAGGAAAACTGACAAGAGAGGATGTCCAAGGGCGGTGACAAGTAAATCAGCTACGGCCATGCTCACCAACCAGAAATTCGAAATCGTTTGTAGGCTGCCATTCCAATAAACTGTACTAATCACCAATACGTTGCCAACAGTGCCAATGAAGGTCGACAAAACATTCACAGCTATTAAACCATAAACGTGTTTTTCAGGCAGCAAATGGCAATGCATCGTGCTAGCTAATTTAAAGGCTGAATATTGCATGGTAGAATTCATTTTTCACTCAAGGAAGATTTCTGAAAGAATTAAGAACTGAGCCGTGGATTAAACACCAGCCATCATGTGATAGCAAGAGTCTAAGTCGGTTACAAGTTGCTCGCAACGTTAAATGTTTAGCATTTTTCTTCTTTCTTTGCATGCTTTTTCAATTTGTTTAAGTAGTTAATCCAACTCATAAAAAAATAATTTTCAGTTTACTCTTAATGGATCATCCCTTGAGATAAAATCAATGAATAATAAAAAATGAAGTTTTTTTCAACGCGTTCTTTCTCTTCAATCTTTTCTACTTGCTTAAACAGATAATTCAACTAATTAAAAAAATAATTTTCAGTTTGCCAGACGCTAAATGGATTATCTCCCAAGACGAAGCTAATGAATAATAAAAAAAGGAGGGTTTTTTTTGTCTCTTTTTTTTTTAAGCAAAAGCCTGAATGGTTTCGCATTCCATTAGATTCACAAATATTTTATTATCAGTGGTAACTAGAGAGTTTGACTTTACTTTTACCAAGGGGTATAGATGTTAGCTCAAGAATTTGTGTGCCCAGAAAGTTTTCAACTTTAAAGTACAAAAAATAATAATAAATTTTGTTGTCGCCATTCATTCAGCGCTGTCGGCGCTAATCGCCATATAAAGACATGTGGTACACACACGATATAAGAGCAATAATTCGTGTGTCAAAATAGATTCGAGAAAAATCAAATCCTTTCAACTAGTCAAAACATAAAACCATGAAATATTATGCAATCAGAGAATCGTGACCGATAACAAACCCTCGCAATCTCTTCATGTACAATTCTTTAATGAAAACTGATAAAAAGTGAATTTTTGCAGAAAGGAATTCACGTTATGCTGGCTACGCGCATCTTTTAATTTTAATCGTTTGGCTTGTGGTTGTTGGCTTATTGAAAGAAGGGAACCGTATATTTCTGATCCTGGTGGTATTCACGATTGTTATTAATAAAAAAAAGCCTGGTAAAAAGTTGAGTATCTATTTTATCGTTCTCTATACAAGGAAAAGTGTGTCAAGGAAAGCATCGATAACTTGATTGTAAATTTCAGTCTTGTTTGGCGACGATTGCATGACAGAGGACCAAGTAGACAATAAGGAAATTATTTCGAAGGATGCATTGTTCTTTTTGTTGTTATTTTGGTTGTT